ATCTTATTAATAAGAGATCTTGCAGAGCTTTCACCTCTGCGACCTGATATAAATCTAGTGCAGGCTGGTGGTTGACATGGGCTAAATATGAAAAAAGTTCCCAAGTAAAATGAGTAGGAAGTTTATTATGAGTGGTAACAAAAGGATTTAACATTTGTCAAGTTCTATTTCACTTCTTAGTAAATATGATTTCCGGGGCCAAAACTATCCATAACAGAAAACTAATTGACATTGAATGAAATAGTCTTGATGAAGAAATAGGAATTCACATTGCATCAAGAAAAATGAGATGCCATAAATCGGGTATGTTGTTGTTTGTGGGAAACATCTGGTTATTCTTGATGCTGACAATAGCAGTTAAGGATTAAATAAACTTTTTCAGTTGCCATTATCTGAAAATCTTGTCTTTGTACATGGAAAAATTCACAACAAAAATAATTGTCAAGAATGTGTGAATGAAGAAACACAATTTTTCAGATGTCATTTGCCGTAGATTTTTTCAACATTTTAAGAGTAAAGTTGCTGTATACTTTGATCTGTATAGTAAACTATGACATTTCATGATATTTTATAGATTTTATACAATGTGAAATATGGAAACTGGCCATTCTACCCAAGTGGCTCTTACCAGTGATGTGCTCCACATGAACTTCCACGCATCCTCTTTTCCCACCTCCTCTGCCACGTCTTTTGTAACACTATCAGTATAACCTGCCACTCTTTTCTCATTTATGTATTTTTTTAGCAGCCCCTTAAGTGCATAAATGCTTTATATCTTAACTATTCCTTGTACTAAGGGTAATGTAGAATTCATTCGAGACTCTGATTATGGCAAAGCAAAATTGTGGCAACAGTGTGGAGGGTGAGATCATAAATTCAGGGTTTTTTTTAACCAGATCAATATTTGAAGGTAGATGGATCCTTGATACGTGAAGCAGTGAAAAGATGATCAGTAGTAGATGGGTTGTAAAGCAATCAGATGAGTCATAATCTAATTGAATGGCAAAGCAGACAGAAGTAGTCGAGAGACTTGATCTTGCTTGTATGTGTATGTTTGTATGTAATCAATTAAGGAGCAGGTTATTTTGGATCTAGTGTTTTGAAATGAGGCAGGATTCTGGGAAAAAAATATCATAATGTGATAAAAGTCAAATTCAGATGGGAGTGATTTTGTTAAGTCCAAAACTGGAGTCTTAAACGCTACGAAGCAAGTAAAATAGGTGTGAGAAATAAATTTGCTAAAGTAGATTGGGAACTAGCCATCTTAGATAACAAATGGTAAACATTTCAAGAATGAATTCCTAATTTTCAGCAATCATAAAAAGGCAGTAAAGTAGTTCAAGCATGAATAATGAGCATTTCAGGCTAGTGTTCAATTACAAATTAAGGCTTAGGATGTTGCCAAAAAGAGTAGAAACCCTAAAGAGTGAGGGTTTTTAGAATTTATCAAGATAATGATAAAAAGGGAGAAAATAAGATTTGATAGTAAACTAGCTAGAGACATAACGACATAGAGACGTAGAAGGACATGATGGATGATAAGTCTAAAGAGAGGTATATTGATTTTCTGAGACATGTCGATGTAAAAAAGGAGGCGGTGTTGGGTGCTCTGTAAAGCATTAACAGAGACAAGACCGGATGGGATCTATCCCAGAATGCTGAGGGAAGTGAGGGAGGAAACTGCTGGGACCTTGTACAAACTCTTTGCATCCTGTTTAGTCACAGGAGAGATCTTGCAGGCTGGAAAACAGACAATTTTGTTCAGAGATAGTAGGAACTGCAGATGCTGGAGAATCCGAGACAACAAG